CATTTGTTTTAAGAAAGTTGATTAAAAAATGTACCCTTACCTCTTCAAAAATGATAAAGTTATGTACATTATGTTAACAAATAAAGTACTGATAGTACCATTATATGTGTAAGTTATGGGACGCCATGTAGTATCTGTAGAGCACAATGACCTCTTGATTTATATCCAATAAGGTACATGAATAAACACAATTAAAATTCCATTCTTCAGTATTAAATATATTACCTAGAGAAAACTAAGTATACAGTACTAATAGTATATTCTCTATAGCGACTATTGAGTAAGTTCTTATTTTAAATGAGTCAGTTGAATAGCATCTTTTATTGCTATCTGAAAATCATCACCGAGGTTTATGAGATGTTTATTTTCTTTCCTTTAGTGTGAAGCAATGTTTCGTTTTTATTTTTTGAGGGGATTCTTTCTAATTAATCCCCTTTCTCCCCCCTAGCATCTACTTTCCGTAACCTCCTCTTACATTGTCAAAGCCTATTGGTGATAACAGCAGACTTTGCTCCCTGCTAAAGATTTCTATATTGAATTAAAAAGTTGAAGATTTTTTAAAAGAAAATTCGTGTCTCGAAGACATCTCTTTAATAAGTTGAAATTTTTTTTGTTTATTTCCTTAACTTTATATCAAGGAAGAAATAGCTTGAAATAACAAAATGAACTTTCCTTTTCTTCCAAAACAATTCTGTTTTCAATCAATTATGTAATATTTTTCTGCATAGAGAGCATACTGTTGATGGGATACGTCTTAATGATTTTGTAGGAAGAATTTTTGAAATCAATTGATACAGTCATATTTATTTTCCAGAGAAAAATATAAAATAAATGGCTTATTAAATAATAGGGAGACCAGTTATTAACAGGCCTACTTCTGTATTCATATGAAGCAGAATTTATTCAAAAACTCATTCAGGAAAAGAAGAAAACACTTGCTGAGGCATTCAACTCGACATATATCGATGGCGTATTATCAATTGTATCTACTTCCATTCATATGTCGACTCGATATATTTCAGGTAAATTTGAAATAAAAGATACCATAGCGTCTGGCACATCTGTTTCATATTTGGATATTTTACTAGAGAAAGACGTTTATGGTAACCTAACAACAAAACTTTATGATAAACATGATTACTTCAACTCTTCTATCGTCAAGTTCCTTTTTTGTGTAGCAATCTACCCATATACCTGCTTTTGGAGTTTAAGTCTCCCAGTTCATTCGATACGCAAGAGCATTCTTTGGGTACGAACAATTTCTAAAACGAGGCAAGCTATTGACAAACACGTTGATGAAATAAGGATATCAACAGTCTCGTTTAAAGTCATCATTTCTCAAGTTCTATGTTCGATACAATGACCTTGTCATAAAATACAATCTATCATTTAGTCAAATGTTAGGCCATTATTTACACTGAATTGTCTACAGAATTTTCCTTTGGTTCGATCATGACAAGAAGCACAGGGCGGGTGTGACCGGACGACAAAGGATGCTTACTCCTCCATAGCACAAGGTACCTGATCCCAACTTTGATGTTTTTAGAGGTTCGTGTTGGCTCTGTTCCCAATTTGCATTGTTTCAATAGACTTTTAAGTTTGATTACTGTTCGTTTTCTTCAGATTGTACAGTAATTACTCTAGAACCTTATTTATATATGAATATAACGCATAAATTTTGCCTTATTCCTTACAGAATTTCAAAGAAAAATTTTGCAAGAATGAAATAGTTGTAGAGAAATGAGAGATACACTGAAAGAAATACTCATCTTGAAAAAATAACATTTTGCTACAAAGCAAAAGCTTATAGGAATTCTTGGATCTTATTTCAGTCTAGGAAAACTCAATCTCTTTAGTGTTTGTCTTATTAAGGGGAAAAGAGATAATAACTCTTTCACTATTGTAAACAATAATTAACTTTAGTAAGTTTTTGGCATATAAAGAAAAATTGCTTGTTTGCAAAACAGGTAAAAGATAATTTTATTTTATTAGTAATATGACAATTGATTATATATTAACCAATTAAGGCAAACTCCTATTAAATAAAAACATTATAATGTATCTGAAAATTTTTTTGGTACGCTTACACTGATTAAAGAAAAATTAAGGATAAGGTATCATAGAAAAATCAATATTTTTTTGCTCAAGTGTAGTTTCACTTTCATCTTCACAGATGATCGTATATGTAAATGTAAAGAGATATGTTCTACCGTGTACCTTTTATTGTTTAAATGTATAGCGAAAGAATGCTTCAATTATATACACGTAACATGTCTTACCAGTAGTTCATTATTAGCAATGGATAATTATTTTTGGCACTTTAAGATACTTTAAAAACACAAGTTTGCATACATATTGAATGATTTGCAAACGTGTATATAAGTTTGTGTGACATTCTTTTACAACTCGATCTATATTCTATTTTTAAAAGACTCTTACAATGTGACATTTGGTTTACGTTGTTGTTCGTTGGACAATTTCATAATTTTTTTTTTTCAGGAGTTTAAATAGTGCACTACAGTAGAGGTAAATATATTAATTAAAAACAAATATTTTTTGCAATCAAAACTGTTGTTAGTAAACAAACATTTTCCAGGATTATAGAGGTACTAGGGTTAATTTAGCTTACTTTCCTATCCCCAAGACCATAAAATATGAGCTCAGGCCTTGAGACCATAAACTGAGAATAGACTTAAGTCAAAATTTTGATTTTGAATATCTTGACCTTTATTTAACATATGTACTTTAAAATTTGCATGTTTGTAATTAAAACTCATGATGAAAATTATGTTTCGCTATGAAAGTTATTTCAAAAGTTATGTTGATTCGAAGTTTTGACTTAAGTCTGTTCTCAGTTTATGGTCTTGGGGCCAGAACTGTATTTTTATGTGACTGACACATCTGGTACATTGCAAACTTTAAAATGTATTTTTTAAAAACGTCTGACTGATACTAAAACAGATAGATGGAGTGTTTATTTAACGTCTCACCAATGTTGTCCTCCAAATATATAAGATATAGGCATTTAATACCCTACATTACATTCAATCGTGTTGCATTACCTACGTTGTTTATAATACTTGATAGCTGAGGACTTCCGTGACAAAGCAAATAATAACAAGGATTTAACTTTTGAGAATTGTATGATTGACATGTTTTCTTTATGTTTATAAATGAATGGTATGAGGTAAAAATTTATTTTTCTACATACTTCAATTCAGAATAAATGATTATGGAAATTATTTTTTCGATACTAACTATATTGTTGAAACACAGAAGTAAAAGCTAACCAAAAAATGTTTTTCAAAGAAATACTTATTTAAGCTTTGTGATAACCCAGTTATATAAAGGAAGTGTCTTCCTCCACAGAAATTCTCACGGGATTAAAAAACTGCATCGGACAATGACCCAGTAGGAGGGAATTTGATTTGATGATGTAGATATATTAGTGACATTAACTATGCCTGGCACTGGAGCTTTCTTGCAGATTGGAAAAGTAAGTTCTACCTTATTTTCAAATACCCAAGGACTAGACAGTAATATCGATCTATACTCCCAAATTTTAACCCTGACTTGAACAATTAGGAGATTTTTATAGATAGTTGTTACTGTTAATTAGATTGACAGATTAACAGACTACACAGGAAATATTCTTCTTCATTCAAAATTTCTCAATAATGTCCAACAAAATGCTACAAATTGTATATCTTTGTAAGGATGCTGGCAAAAAAGGGAAAACCAAAAAATTTAAATCATTGAATGTCTACAATTTCTTAATATTTTAGAGATTGGAAATCTGCATCATTTACAGTCAATAATTCTAAAAATATACTATTCAAAGCATCCAATGTTTTGTTTGTATCGTGTGACCTTAACGTATAACTTTGCCTCTTATATTTGGTTTCAAGTGCCGGATTGTGTAATACATTAACTTTTTGATATACGTCTGCAGGAAACATGCCGTACCAAAATAAAAAAAAAAATCCTTGCAAGCGCAACAATTTTCCTTTCTTTTGAAGCACAGATAGGATTATTTTCAATTAAAAAAAATTAAAAAGTGAAAAATATTTGGTTATAAATGTTGCTATCATTCACTTATTATAAATTTGTGCTGGCTGCTATAAGAAAGCACCAACGTAATAAGGGTGAGCACATGAATTGTCATAAATGTGATAACAAAATTCAAATAAAGCAACAAAAAGGAGAGTGATGTCTACTTTATTTGATTTTTAGAAGCCGACCAAAAAAGATGAGGTATAGTAGTTATGGGATTGTGGTGTTTTATTAGTGTTGAGTTTTGAGCTATATTGATCATAAGCTAAAGGAAGTTTGTGTCTATATATGGTAAATACTTACAGGTGATCATAGCTGTTCTTCTCCAGTTGTAGAATTAGGGAAGTTTATGCCCCTCATCCACCCCAAAGATTAAAAAAATATTAAACACTTATCCATGCACTGGTTGTGAGTGGGATAGTTCTTTTATCAAACCTGCAACAGGAACTATTCCCGGAGAGCTTGGATAAATGTTTTATTATTATAATATTGATGTTTATACAATTTCTGAGGGTTGAGGGTTATTAGCACATTTTTTACTCCAGGGTATAGCCTTGTGGAACTAAACTCTTCAGTGTTGGAAATGTTTCCAACCAATCATATTGCAGAAAATAAAAATTTTCGTCAAAAATTGATTGAAAATTTTCCCAGGCGTGGATAGCACAATCTATACCCCCGGGGTATACCTTTGCTATAAGTGATAAAAAGAGTTATTTTACCTTGTTACTTTATATGTAGGAAATATTTTAACAGAAATATAATAGTTTGGTTATTTAAGCTTTAGATTTTTATGGTTGATTACTAATGCTAAAGTTGCAACTTTGCAATTTGGAAGTTTTGTGAGTTTCTTTTTACCTTCCACAGATTGATCAGATTAAATTTTTGTAGGTTAAATTCAGAATTTGATCATAAGTACTGTGAAACAAGGATTGTATTTATTTTTGTAGGTAAGCCTAGAGCGCGTGTTAGGTCTGACAGTCAGCACCAATGCGACCTTGACATGTGACCTCAACACAGGGACCATCGCTTATCCTGCAGGGTGGGTATCTAGTCAGATTGCACACAAGTTATAAGAAAAGGGATTAGATTGTCTTGCAGCATACCATATGTATTAATTTTTCTTACAAAAATAGCAAATTTGTTACAAAAATTGATATTACCTTACATAAACCTTATGTTCCCTATATCATATATTGTGTGCATCGACAAAAAATCAAATAGTCAAAACACTTACAAGATATCTGGGTATGAAAATTAAAAGATTCGTTTTTTTATGCTTTTCACAACATAGGTAATTTGATTCTAATATAAGTCTAGGTCAGGTGAAAGCAATGTCAAAAAATAAAATGTTTATAATAAATATCTAGTTTCCACTTGTTAACCCACATTTTGCCACCAAACATCGGAAAGTGAAAGTAAGGTTGCCATTAGAGTTAGTGATAACTTTGTTTTAGTTAGATATGTATTACTATATTAAATCATCTATGTCACCTGATTCCTTACTTTCCCTTCTTCATATTTTTGTGAACTTGTATAAATCAAAAAAGTAGTTTTGTAGCTGACCTACAATCTTAAGTAACTCAATATATAAACCTAGTGATTTAAAAACAAATAATGGTTTTATGACTCACTGTCATGTGTTTTGGTATTTCCAATCATTGAAGAAAGTGACTGATTTGCTGAATTTTCTGTTGATTTCGATTTATTTTTAAGATTTTGTCCTTGAATTATCGTTTTGTGCTTAGACAAACCATTCGATGTCACAGATCTACTTCATTGAATAACAAATTATTAGGCCATTATTTTTTGTAATGAATTGATTACAGTTTATTAATTTAGTTCACCTGGCCAATACAATGGGCGAGTGTGATCGGTCGACGGGAGATGTTTACTCCTTCATGATACCTGATTCTATTTCTGAAGTTTTCTTGTGTGTCTTAATTGCTCTACTCTCAATCTAAATTGTTTATTTGGATTTTTGAGCTTGATCTTCAAATTTCATGTAAAAATGTGCTTGTAAAAATATCAATCGCTTTCCGTATACGTTAAAAACTGTTTAACTCGTGAATAAATTGCTTTTTGATGAATTCTCATTTTGAGATACAATTTGCTGGTCTAGGTTTTTCTTTTTTTTTACAAAGCTAAATGTTTACGTTGTTGGTTTTATATAATCAGTATTTTTAAGTACATTTGCAAACATTAAGATAATCATACACCCACGAGGGTAAGAGATACTCAAGTTGTGATAAGTAACTTGAAGTTATTTAAATTTCCTGTACTTTTAAAATTTATTCTGAACTTTTACAATAAATCGAAAGTGTTTGTCACCTACATTTTTGCTTTAAGCATGTTTTACTGTAAATTGATTTAAAAAAAGTATGTGTAAACCGACAACTTTTTCAGATTTTTCGACCTGAATGATATAAAAAATATCTCTAAAAATGATCTTATTTGACAATTAATGGAAAATCTTAATTATTTATTTATATTATTACAAAAATAATAATCATTGCCATAAAATTAATAGGCATATCTCCTAGCATTTCCAGAAATAAGGAATCACTATATAGCGGGGGAGTTTCTATTGAATCTTGCCGCTTTAAGTTCTTGATCTATCCATCCATTCACCATCCAACCGTCACTTTTTAAAGGAAAGATTATTTATAAAAATTTTCACAACTATCTCGTAGAACCTTGAAAGATAAATTTAAAAAAGCAATCAATCAAACAAAATGAAACGCAATTAGGGGAAAAAACCGATATTTTATACTTTTTATGACAAATTTAGTATGAACAAGTACATACTTAACCGTAGACAAAGTCACTTACAACACTACAGATTTATCTCTTTAAAATTGTGTACCCCCACACAATGTCTAAATCTGAACAATTGAAGTTCATCTATTTAGTTTCGCAAGAGGCCTGTCCCTGAACAAATGATTGCAAAGCCTCATGTATGTTTTATCTTTTGAGTGTTTGACCCAGTTAAATTTTAAAGTGTGCAATTGTAAACATCTATAGATCATTACCTGTATTATGTCATTGGTCCTGGATTGTATATGGTTGACAAAATATTCTCCTGCTATGTCATTTATTGAATTGCTGATTAGGCAAAGTCTGCCAGATCAGATGATATTAAAATCTAATTTGCAAAAATAGCGCAGAAAAGTATGAATATAGACAATGTAAAGTACACAGAAATATTTAGACAACAGTTTATAAAACTATGTCTTATATCTAGTTTAACTTGTCATCTCGCAGACGTAAAAAAAATAGAGATTTTAAATCTCGTTGTGGTTTTTCAATGGTATGTCGTATCAAAAGTTGTTATCTTTCGTTCAAAACATTCTGAAAAGAGATTTAAATAGGTTAAAAAAGGTTTATGTTTATGGGAGGAAATGGCTTCGGCCGTATTTTAACATGTAAAAAAAAAGATATGAAAGATTATTTGTTTAAATGAAAGCATATAATAAACCTCCAGTGATAAAACTTCACGTTTCGTTTTTTGTGAAAAGATATCAATGTTCTTTAAAGATATCAGTCACCCGTATAATCACAAGTATTTAAGCATGATTTTAGATGAAGTATTGCGCAACATCATGTGATGTTCTTGCTAGGGCTATGGAAGCCTTAAATTCGACAACAAGATTTATCGAAGAGGTTTATTAAATTTAAAACAATTTTCATATATTATGTTTATTCGATATATCTACTGAACTCTTAAAAAGACACCAAAGAGCCTTACACAATTGTTTCCTATTTGGATGGTTAATTAGAGAAAGAGATTGATGGCAACTAACAATTAAACAAAACAATAAGATAAACGTGATGATTAGGTATAAACAATGTCTTAACCAAAGCAAAATACTGATAAATAAGTTGATGATACAAGAGTATCAACAATCTAGTTAAATGCCAACATTCGCAAATTCTATTTTCAATACAATGACCTTGTTTGCAATCAAAACCTGTTAACTCATCTTTTTATAAAAAATTGTTGGATTGTCTACGTATTACTCCGTTTCTCTGATCGAGAAAAAGAGCTCACAACGGTGTGACCGATCGACAGGGAATGTTTACTCCTTCACGATACCTGATCCTACCTCTGATCTTTTCTTTTTATATTGTTTGGTTTGACCCAAGGCGTGATTACTGGTCGTTATCTTCACATTTTATGTTAGTTTTTCACGGCACAAAGCCCAGTGGAGAAGAAAAATTGTTACCACTACTAGAAACTAAATATACACACATGTACCTACTCTCCTAATTCTGAATCATTTTTAGAAAAGTACTGGCTTTGAACAGAAATGATAAATAATAATTCAGAGGGAATGGGAACTAAAAAAACTGAAGTATGTAAAAGTAAATCAATATGTGGACACTTTCAGACAAAACCATAAAACTCATTTAGTGCGAACAATTATACAGCGCATTGAGAGATATAATAAGTTATGCCAGATGATCCGTAAAAATCATTATAATCGAATTTTACGGAATAAATTAATGATTTCTTTGATGAAATATGAAGATAACGAACAGTAATCAAGGTCAAAGTCCATTGGAATAAGACAAATTGAAACAGAGCAAACACGGACCTCTAAAAACATCAGAGTTGGGGTCAGGTGCCATGGAGGAAGGCATCCCCTGTTGACCAGTCACACCCGTCATATGCTTCTTGTCATGATCGGGCAAACGGAAAAATCCGTAGACAATGCAGTGGGAAAATAATAGCCTGATAATTTGTATGAAAAATGTCAGTCAACATTCTAATTAACGATGGGGTTTATTTGCTAATGTAATGTGTAATTGAGTTCTCAACGCTTACTTTGTTTAAAAATGGAAAACAATTTTTCTCAATCTTCAATTAGATTTATATTATTTAATAAGTATCCCTGCCTTGGGTATAAATCAAGAAAGAATCAAAAACAACAACTAGCTACATGTACAACCTAGGTACACCTAAACTTCTTAAAATAATACTAAATTAGTAGATGCACAAGCACCAAGGATAAGTTGGCTCTATTCGGGTCCCTAACCCTACTACCTATGATCTTCCTGACAAATTGTCAGACCTCTGGCTTATGACTTGCCAAACTTTATCCCAAACAATTTAACAGCTTCGGCTCTATTCGGGCCACTGATCAACTGTATGGGTCCAGAAGTTTATATCCTAGAAAATAATATTACCTACTCCCTTCTCCGCTGTAGCAGTAATGACACAGCCTCTCATCATCTCTTTTATTTATACTATTGAGACAGTCTAATAGAAAGGGGTGTCAGGTTATTCCATTATGATTCTAATTATGGTCACTAAAACGTTTGATAGAATAGATCAAAACATCACACTAACAAGGTCATTGTATCGACCATAGAGTTTGCAAAATATTGACTTTTAAACGGGACTGTTGATATCCTTGTATCAACTTAAATAGCTTGCCGCGTTGCAGAAATCATGCTCTTGTGTATCGAATCAATTGGGAGACGTAAACTTCATATGCATTTGATAATGGCATATTGTTCCATAAATAAGGGATGTTGACGATAGAAAAGTTGAAGTCATTACGCTCATCATAAAGTTTTGTTGTTAGGTGCCATTAATGTCTTTTTCTACTAAAAAAAAGTAAGAAACAAATGTTTCTGTGGTGTCTTTTATTTCGAGTATATCGAATCAACGTAAGAATGGAAATGAATATTGTTAATTGATAAGGTCGTCGATATATCTAAATGTCGAATTGAAAGCTACAACAAGCGATTTCTTCTTCTCATGTAAAAGGATTTGAATAAGTTCTGCTTCATGTGAATATAAAAATGGGTCTGATAAAAGTTTTTGAAAAAAATCACCTTCCAGAATATACTTATGTACGGTCTGCAGTCATACCATTGATTGATAACGCAGCTCTCATTCTGTCTATTCTCTTGGTTGGTACAACTGACTTAACGTATTAAATAATATTTGATGTTTATTTTCAGATGTGTGGTGGTTATATTTGACCCCCGAAGCAACAAGCAGTCTTACATATTCAACACATCTAGGAAAACGATCACAGCAGTAGCTTTTTCTCATGACGGCAAGCACCTTGCTACTGGGGAGGTAACGTTAAGCTAATTTTTGTAGCTGAAGAGGCTGCTTTATCGTATTCTTCTTGAATAGTATACAGATGTATTTTTTATTCTCTTTGAGTAATAAATCAAATATCTTAATCACCAATAAGCAAAATATTGTATGATCTTTGAATGGAGTTTGTTTGTATGTATTGCAGCCACCTTTCTTTTTTTTTTTTACAGAGTGGCAACCAGCCAGCTGTGCGAGTCTGGGATGTGGCAGAGAAAACTCAGGTGGCCGAGTTCAATAGACACAAGTTCGGAATTGTTTGTGTTGTAAGTAGATATGTAGAAACTCATGTTCATTAGAATACAAATTCAATCCTTAAGGCAAAAATTTAAATTATATGATAAACGTTTCAATTTATAATTATACAAGAGCTCAGGCAAATCGTATGTAAATTAAGTGTTTGGAATAAAATACTTCAGGTTCTATAAAAAAAAATCATACTTTATATAAAAAACATTTTGTTTAGCCAATAAACTCGAGAAATGCTCATAACTTTGGTGTCTCTGTAGAAATTAAGTGAAAAAAAATCCATTCAAGCTTCCTTCAAAATACACAGAATGTATGAATGCCTAACAAATAACAGAAAATATTCATGAGAGAATATTTTTGATAATATTTTAAGATTATTTGCCTTAAAAGTTTTCTTTTCAGCAAAATATGAAGAACAATAGAATTAATAATGAAATTGACGAATTTAAGAAACAAGAACAATAGTTATAAACTTCGAACTTTTCAACAGGTTTTTCTTGATATGTTCTACACTTCAGAAATTTTCCCCCACTGAAAATTACGTGGTGTCTATTGGATCAGAACATGACATGATGGTCAATGTCTGGAACTGGAAGAAAAAGATTCAAGTGGCATCCAATAAAATCATTAGCAAGGTATATATGTCATGTACATGTAATCCTTTAAGGACAGGTGCTACAAGGAAAAATGGATGCATGGATCGGAATATACTTTTTGACTTATTTTAGCTGTAAAAAGCATATACCAAATCTCTTAAATATAAAAAAATTATAAACTTTCTGTGATATTCAAATTTCTCCCTTTTTGCAATTGCCCTTAAAAATCTATGCTTTTTTCACTTTCATAGAACATATTTTTAAGAAACTTTGAATGAAAAATGAGATTTCATCAGCCTAAGCTAATTCATTTTATTTACAAAGCATATATTTATTTGTTATTTTCTTGACCTAAATAAATATAGTGTTTGTATAACCTGTCTTTAAGCAATCTTGTTTTTACCAAAAATACGTTTTTTGTGTGACATTTTATCCATGATGTGCTTCTTGAAATATGGATACTGCAAAGTTTCAGGTCATATCCTTATTAGGAGCGCTCGCTCCGTGATCGGAAGGTAGTGAATTCGTATCTCGGCCGCGACTGATCTAAGTCGATAAAAAAAAAGGGTAGCAACTGTTCCTTCGCCATGCGATCAGCACTTTGAAGTGAAAGTTGCGGGTTCTTCGGATGAGACCTTAAAAACCGAGGTCTCGTGTCACGGCAGGCGTTGGCACGATTAAAATCCCTCACTGCTCAATGGCCCTCAGTGCCGAGTAAAGGTCAGAATTTGAAGCCCCTTTCCTGGTATATGGTGATGTCTCTATATGAGTGAAAAATTCTGGAATGGGACGTAAAACAATATACAATCAATCAATCAATCAATCATATCCTTATTAAATTGTAAAACTGAAATACTGTTATATTTACATTCCAACTATTCATTTATTTCATTCAAACCACACAGAAACAAATGTGCATAGAATACATTTCCTCATATTAGCTTAACGTATTTCTGTGAGGCTGTAACATTATTCATGCGCTGCGGCTCATGAGGATGTGAACTTGAAAATTTCTTTCTCTCAAAGGAATCTTAAAGGGAAATCACATCTTTTGTAAACATATTTCTGTAATATGACAACAAATAAACTTCTATATTTAGGTGAATTCCATGGCTTTCTCAAAAGATGGTTCCGTGTTCGTGACTGTTGGGCACCGTCATGTAAAGTTTTGGTATTTAAAGGACACTAAATTAAAGGTAACAATATGTCAAAAACTAGGTTTAACATCATTATAGGAACCAAGATAATATGGAAAAGACTAAAAATAGCACTTGTTAAAGTAAAATTAAGATTTTATAGTCTGTGGGATGGGATGGAAGTAAATGGAGATCAGCAAGTGTATACATCAAAATAAGAAGGTAAAATGAATTACAAAGAATATATCAAATTGCAGAAAATCTTAAGAGAGAGAGAGAGAGAGAGAGAGAGAGAGAGAGAGAGCACGTTTTCTGAATGACAGGTGCCACATTCCCTAGAAATAAGAAACCTCTTGTTTTGGTAGATTAATCAGGTGGTGCCTCTTCAGGGAAGCAGTGGAATCCTTCGTTCCCACCTAAACAACTTTTACTGTGACGTCAGCTGTGGTCACACAGTGTACGCCATAACTCAGTCAGGCTTACTGTGTCAGTTCAACGAGAAACGAGAGTTGGACAAGTTTGTGGAGGTGCAAGTAGGTCAAGTCTCATTAATTTCAGGGTCAGCTATATGAAAAACAGTTTCTTCGTTAGTTTGATTTTCTTTTCTAGCTTCAAAAAAAGTAAGGGATGGAGGTGAGGTAGCTCATAACTGGCGATATTTCCAACTTACACCCATAGCTCCCTATATAAGGAGGAAATTATTCAAAATCCTGTGTCAGTTTTTAATATTTTTAATATTCCCAACAACCAAAATGAATTTGAATCACCATATTTATATTGGATTCCAAAACTGCATAAAAATCCTTACAAACAAAGATACATAGCGGGTTCCAGTAAATGTTCTACCAACCCTCTTTCTTTACCCCTCACTAAAATATTTACAGCAGTGAAGGAGAAACTTTAGGAGTATTGTGCAACAATATATTCGAGAAGTGGTGTAAATCGGACGTTGATGCTTAAAAATTTCAAGGAACTTTTGGAAAAATTTGAAATCACAAAAGTTTACCAAAATCAATAACATAAAAACTTACGACGTTTTAACTCTGTATACAACCATTCCAAACGATAAATTAAAGTCCAAGCTTTTTGACATCATTGACAGCTGCTTTTTCAATAAAAATGGAACCTTTTCATTGGTCATTTGCAAAGGTATTCTGTTAAAAGACATTCTGTACTCTGAAGTCCTTTAAAGTCATCCTTCGTATGTTCTATGGTCGATACAATGACCTAGTCAGCAAATACAATCTATCATTAAGTCATATGCTGACTGACGTTTTTCGAATTAATTGTTTGGCCATTATTTACACATTGAATTGTCAACGGATTTTTTCGTTGTTTCCCGATGATGACAAGGAGCACACAGCTGGTGTAACCGGTCAGCAGGGGATGCTCACTCCTCCATTGCACCTGATCCCACATCTGATTTTGGAGGTCCATGTTTGCTCTGCTATCGATTTGTATTGTTTTAATGGACTTTGAGCTTGAATACTGTTCGTCATGTTCAATTTAGTGAGCTCTTCAGGGCTTAACCCTCCTCTATCTCCTTTCCACTACACTTTACTTCCCAAGTAACTGTGATTTTGTGTGAATATCTTTTAGTCAAATTTTTGACATATTTTTTCATTTATTAATTTCGTCTTGAAGGAACTACCACTTTATCGTTTTTATCGGAACTACCACTTTATCGTTTATAGTCAGAACTTTTTCAGCTCGTGATATTGATTTGATCTTGGATAATCAGGAAATACCCTCAATATATACATGTATAAACTTTTTTGCATCGAGGACAAGGTTTTGATTTTTTTCTCCTTAATCGTATATATTTCCAATGAATCTGTACACAGCCTTAGCACTTCTTAAGGATTTTACATATTCTGACGAATTCAAAATAAATACCACTAAAAATGCAAATATTTGGATTTAGAAATATTTATTAACACTAAGATTTTGTGACTTTAATATGAAATACAAGTCCATTGACAATTGAAGCATTTTTAAACTTGTGATTATTTAATTTTTTTTTCTAAATTTTTTATCAAAATTTTTGATTTTTGGGTTGTCTTCCTTTTCCAGGCCACCGCTGCTTATTGTATCTCTGCTGGTAAGGACCACATATTTGTTGGCTGTGCTGACGGTGTGATCCGGATATTTGATGCCAATCTGCAGTATGTAGCTACAATGCCGCATCCACACTGGCTGGGGGTCGATGTTGCTTTACATCCCAGTCACAGGTATGATACATATTTATTATCAGGGGAACATCAGTCCCAATTTTGATTATTGTATATGAGGAGGATCTCAGGTCCCAGGAATGATACACAAATATCAGGTGAACATCAGTCCTGGGTATAAAACATGTATATTAAGGGAATTTTAGTTCCAGGTATTTTTCTGTTATTTTGACAATTTTTTATATAGATTTTGGAGACTAAATAAAATTTAAGCGAATTTAGTTATACATACTAAAATATTTGGGCTAAAAATGATGTAAATTGTTGTTGAATGAAATATATGGAGATAACAAACAGTATTCAAGCTCAAAGGTCCATCAAACAATACAAAATAGGAGCAGAGCAAACACGGACCTCCAAACATCAGAGGTGGGATCAGGTGCCATGGAGGAGTGAGCATCCCCTGCCGACCGGTCACACCCGCCATGTGCTCCTTGTCATGATCGGGAAATAACGGAAGATAATTTTACAAAGGAAAAAAAATTGATTTTACATGTTAGGTTTATCGCTCTTGAAAGAAAGTCAAGAGTCATTTTTATTTATTTATTTTGTAATTATAAACACTTTGTTGTTTGTTAAGTTTACAACTCAAGAAGTCACGATTTAATACAATATATTTGCAAACTGGAATACAAATCCAGGTACAATTTAAATTTGTGTATACTACTGTATTTCCGGATGAAATATATGGAGATAACGAACAGTACTCAAGCTCAAAAGTTTATTCAAACAATACAAATCAGGAGCATAGCAAACACGGACCTCTAAAACATCAGAGATGGGATCAGGTGCCGTGGAGGAGTGAGCATCCCCTGCCGACCGGTCACACCCGCTGTGTGCTCCTTGTCATGATCGGGAAATAACGGGAAAATCCGTCGACAATTCAGTGTGTAAATAATGACCTAAAAGTTAGTATGAAAAACGTCAGTCAGCATTTGACTAAATAATAGATTGCATTTGCTGACAAAGTCACCGCATCGACCATAGACTTTACGAAATTATGACTTTAAATGAGACAGTTGATATTCTTGTTGAAGCGTTCAGATGAAAGTTTTAGTGCATAGAGTTTTATTAAAAAGGAGATTCTGTTATTGAAGTTGAAGTTGAATTTGTTTAATATTACAGTGTATGTTGATAAATGTTGCCTATTGCTTTGTATACATTTAGTTTCTGATGCTATAAATGACCTATATTTTCTTGAAGAGTAAATATGTGTACAATTTTAAGAATGCTTATATTTTTAAGTAACTACTTTTCTGTTGTTCAAAGATGAATGACTAAGTCCACATAGATGAATACAATAAAACATGTTTGAATACTGCATTTGTCGTTTCGTTTTTTCAGTCACCTGAATTTTCAAACAGAGGATGCTAGGTTCCCAGACACTGTTGCTATCAGCTACGACGATGTACACCGAAAGGTAAACAGCTGAGTAGTCTGGTAATAGTACCGGTCATGTTTTTAGAATATAACTTAATGAATAGAACATTAGATTTTTTCATAATATCTGTTTTATTTTTATACTGATCTGAGGTGTAGAGTAATTTACCTCCCTGTCTGTATCTAAATCAAAACTGGTTTTTATACAATGTAAAGGAAACAGGGATTCAATCTTTTTGTTTGTTTGTTTGTTTTACCGTTCCTTCGAAAATTGTTGACTCATATTGAGACGCCACCACTTGCTGGTGAAGGGATGCAAATTTAGATCTGTACTCTGCACTTACAGCCTTTGAGCAGTAAGGGATCTTTTTTCGTTTTGAGAATAATCCTTAACACAGAACTGGAGTGCTTTCAGGATCGTATCGGCTACGTCGACTACGTAGGCTTTATGAAGAGCTGCCTTTCCTGGATGATGCAGTGTATCCTAATATAGACCATACTCAGGGACAGCTAATAGATGCTAGATACAAATTCCAAGATAGCAATCTTAATATCCACTCTTAACCAAACATTAATTTATGATATTTAAGTTTTTCAACCTTTTGGAATGAATAAAATGTTTCTTGTGCTTTTTTCCTCCTCTTACTTTTTTTGTTACATATTGCTGAGCAATTTGTATCTTAAATTTGATAACTTATTAACTGTTCAGCGGTCTTAAAAGTAGCTCTAGTATAAAGAAAAAATTACAAGATACATTGAATGACGATAACAACTGAGACATCTATTTATTTATTTATTTATTTTTTACTTTTGGTTTACAGGTGACTTGTGTGTACAATGACCACAGTCTTTATGTGTGGGACGTCCATGACGTCATGAAAATTAGCAAGATCTGCTCTTTCCTGTACCACAGCAATGGCATCTGGGGGTCGGAGGTCAGTGCCTATCTATCTGTCTGTCTGTCTGTCTTACTGTCTCCTGTCTTGACATGTTGATAAGTATTGTATAAAACAAGATTTTTTTTTTAAAAAAAAGTAAATTATAATCTGTATAATCTGGGTTTTTTTTTTAATTTTTAAAAATGCTATTGGGCCCTATTGTGGGGATTTATTTTACCTTCTATTCTTCTGGTGCCGGGACCATTTCACTGAGATTCTGTGCCAAAAGTAGAAGAGAAAAATAGATAAATAGAAAAAATTGTTTCTGAAGGTTTACCCGGGTATAACAGAGGACATGAAGCCAGTTTTACCATCGGGATCATTTATTACTTGTTCCTCGGATGACACGATTCGGATCTGGAATTTGGATCCACACATGATGGAAACTGAAAGTAGCAAACGGAATGTCTATTCTAATGTAAGTGGATTTATTGTAGTAAACGGAATGTCTATTCTAATGTAAGTGGATTTACTCTAGTAAACGGAATGTCTACTCTAATGTAAGTGGATTAACTGTAGTAAACGGAATGTCTATTCTAATGTAAGTGGATTTATTGAAGTAAACGAAATGTCTATTCCAACTAAGAGTGCATATTGTTATCAAAAGGAGGTAGTCACTTTCATATACAATCATGTATTTCACGGAATTACTATTATTTTCTTCTCTTTTTATTTCTTCTTCTTGAGCAGATATTCCTCTTTTCTAATCATGAAGTATGTAAAATCACCATCCCTCATATCATCAAATTTTATTATTTTGATTTCACGTATTAATTTTAGGAATTGCTGAAAATTGTTTATGTGGATCCAACGCATACCTTTCTGAAGAATGTTTCTCGCAAACCAGGTTTGCTAAGACACTTTATCTAAGACAAACTTATATTGAAGTTTAATTTCATTTAAAATTTAAAATCATGAAATATTCAAAATTAAACCTTGTGATTGTGCGTTTAAGTAACTTTTTTACTTCTTAAAAAACATAGTAAAGCGAAAATATAAAACCGGTTGTAGAAAATATAAAAAGATCCGTTCTAAGATCTATTTCCTAAATTGCACACAGTTTAAGCAAATAAGCGCTATATAACCCATTATAATCCATGCACATTGTGATGCAAGAACATAGTGAATATTGAGGGATATAACTTATAATATAAAAGTTATCTTCTGTATTTATTACACACTTCCGCTTTTAAGAAGAACTGTTATTTTTCTTCTAGCAGATGAAGGTAAATCTGGAATTCGATGCATCGGAATAAGTCCTGATGGGCGCCATCTTGCTTCCGGGGATAGAATTGGAAATATCAGGTATTGCTTAAAAAAGGAATACCAAATACAGCTTTATACAGCAAATTATTAAGTAAAAAAGTAATAAAAGTAATATTTATTCTAATGATATTTTTTTTTATTCCCAGGGTGCATGATTTAAGAAATATGGAGGAAATTATTAAAATAGAGGCACACGACCAAGAAATTCTTTGTGTCCATTACTCAAATCTTACTGCAGGTGGGTTGGCCTTTTAGATGCTTGGAGATAGAAATTAGATTTTATAAATTTAATGAGGTGTCTGATCCTATATGCTAGATTTTATAGAATTTTGTTTTCGTATCAATAAAATTTCATTAAAATAATCAATTCACAAAGGGTTAAAGTAATACTAATACATGTACGATTAAGGTACTTTTTTGAGGTAGATAGCGGAAGGAATATCAGGTTACACTTAACAAAGACATTACAATTTTACAAATTTTTTTTGTAAATTGATCATCACTGTTAAATAGGTTCCAGAAAGTAACAATATTTTTCAGTTTGTTAACATTTTCAGGTATGTATATTCTTCCATTATTGAAAAAAATGCAACCAAGATTAGTGTTTTTCATCTCCTATTTCTCTTTTGTCACAAAGATCACATGCTATAGTAATTTATCTGATCTACCGATAGTACGAAACCTGCCACAAATAACATCTAAGAAGTAACTAACACATCTAAACTTACTTAAACGGTAAACAGGTTCCAATGGTAACAAGACAAATTTTCTCTAAGCAAAAGCCTACCTTATAAATTCTCTAATTTAAATACTTACATATTCAATTTCCAGTCTTATCTAAAAGCTTCTTTACACTGATTTTTCACTTTTCTAGATAAACAAACAATTCTTCATACAAAGTGATCATTTCAAAACTTTACAGAGTCATTTTCATTCAATATATTTCAGGCATATAACAAACATTCTAAGTGAAAAACAACTTCTTTTTCCAGATTATAAATAATTTAATATAGCATTCGAGAGATCTTAACATTTTTCCAGAAACAAGTCAGCGCGAAAAGCTCACCATCCTGGCATTTATAGACTCAAAGTTACTCTGCCTAGGTCACCATATACAATACTATTATAAGAATAGATTTTTAAAAACTTTCATTATGAATTTACAGAAATCAAAATGCAATGACTCAATTATACTGTTATTCTCATAACCCCAAACTTCTGATTCTTTGAAAGGATAAAGGGTGTCAAAAAATACATTTTCTTCTGGAAGCTTGACTCACTTTGGCTGGAAAGACCTAACAGTCATTTGATCAAACAATTTTATAAAATATCAACAAGCAAATATAATGTTCTATCTTCACTCAATACATGAAACATAGGTTTCCTTGCTTGCTGTACAAGACTTCCTTTATTCTTCTGAAATTTACTTTTATTAAAAATAATATGTCATGGTATTGAATCTTTTTTTCTTGACAGTTTCTCATCATTTTACACGAAAATGGTATTTTCACAATGTCTACTTTTTGAAAAAAAAAAATCTTTTTTATGCAACTTGGAGCATCCTCTCGAAAGAGAGCAAAGTGACATAGATCCCCATGTAAATTATTAGTACTAATTAAGCTCTTTTTTAAATTAGTTTTTATTTCTTAGGCCCTACACTGATGGTTTCTGGCAGTAGGGATCGTTAGGGATTTTTAAAAAAATAAAATGATAGTTTTCTTTGATTAGGTCCTAAGCTGATGGCGTCTGGCAGTAGGGATCGTTAGGGATTTTTTTTAATAAAATGATAGTTTTCTTTCCTAAACTGATGGCGTTTGGCAGTAAGGATCGTTAGGGATTTTTTTAATAAAATGATAGTTTTCTTTGATTAGGTCCTAAGTTGTTGGCGTCTGGCAGTATTGATCGTTAGGGATTTTTTAAATAAATGATAGTTTTCTTTGATTAGGTCCTAAGCTGATGGCGTCTGGCAGTAGAGATCGTCTCATTCACGTCTTTGACGTGGATCAGAGTTACAATTTGATGCAAACCCTCGCTGACCATTCCAGCTCTGTTACTGCCATCAAATTTACGGAGAACGATGAACAAATAAAGATGCTCAGTTCCAGTGCAGACAAATCTGTTCTCTTCCGAGAAGCACATAAGGTACACCTTTATCAGCATAACATTAAAATGGTTTTTTACATGTGTAAATTGTATTCAAAAAATATTTATTGAAGTTTGAAGTTGGCTGAAGAGTAGTATAGTTTTTTGTTGGAATACCATTAAGTCACCGTGGTTTTCATGCTTTTATTTCTGTTGCAGTCTCCAGAGAGTCAGTTTGAAATTTCTAAACAACAACATGTTGTAGGCACCAATACATTGTATGACATAGATATAGAACCCACACAAAAACATATGGCAACCGCATGTCAAGACCGAAACATCAGGTAATCTGCATTAACTTTCAATAAATTCCAAAATTTATGGGTCAGTGGAAGTTCGTGCTCCCTGTTCTTTTAAAAGTACGTAAAACATCCGTTGGCATCTTCTAGGAGCGCGTTCAATTGTTTTTATCCTTTAGGTAACACACCGATCTTGAACGAAATGCTAACCTTATCACTACGTAAGGAAAACAAGCATAAATATTTGATGTTTGATGCCAATTAAATGAAATATTGTAATCTAAGCTACATTTTTTGCACCACACATATAAATTGTATAAATTCTAGTTATCTGAAAGTTGCTTTCTCTATCTCTGTGAATAAAGGAAGTTCTGAACACTGCTCACTGTAGAGTTCTAATTCTACGGTACTTATGTGTAAGGGACGTCTTCTCCTCCTAGGCACCTGATTCTATCTCTGGTGTTCCTAGGAGTCCGTCTCACGATTCATATTCTCTACTAGATTTTTGAGATTGATCACTGTTCGTAATCCTAACCTTCTATATTACAGTGATCTTCCCTTTGATGTAAGAAATGGGATTAATGGGATTAACGGATATGTATGACTGTTTGGTGAACATTTTATATGACGTTATACACCGTTTTTGTTTATCTCGATGGGTTGGATATACATATATATATTATATACAATCTTTCATTAAATATGTTTTCATTTAGTGCAAGATACTGTAGACTTTTTCTTAAGGTCAAGATCTAGTAAATGAAAGGTGCCTACACATTTTTCAAATTTGATGGGCGAGTTCTTTTAATGGTCCTTTACAAATGTAGCTTGGTAAAATAAGGTGTTTCGGGACATAATTTTTTAGGTAAACTAAATGAAAAAACATGTTTTAAACTGTCATTTTCATTGTAAAATGAAGAAAGTCAGGTATAAATTCCAGAGTTTTTCCATCTAAGAAAAAGGAAATGTATCAATTTTGCCCACAGTCTCTCTTAAAACGGTTTTTCGCATCTTCTTGACCTCTACTTTAAAATGATATTTAATTGAATATAGGTATCGGGGTTACTTTTGACATGATTTCATATTGAATTCCATGAAAATGCTTCATTTCCTATATAATTCTATTACAGCCATAAAAAACGGGAAAAAAAGTTTAAATCAATTATGATGTCATAATGGATATAGCTTAAAAAAGATAGTCTGAACTCAATTACTAGATCTTGACCTTAAGTGGGATAAATTTATCTATGTACGAGATCAAAAACTTTCCACAGAAATTTGTCAGAGTGTACCTAAAATACATCTAATGTGTTCAATAGCAATTCAAGAAATCCAAGTATTTTTCTACTAGCGGATTGATTCAAAATTGATATTCCACGGAATTATGACCCCACGGAAAAAGTATATTTACAGCAATAAAATAGTTAAGAACGGTCAACCAGTTAAATAAACTGTACCTGGCTAGCATGACGTCACAATGCCTATTTGGTATTGCTGTATTATAAAGAATTTCTGTTTATAACAAAAAATTTAAATTTATAAATATTAAATAAATAACATAATCAATGTACAATTCAATGCAAACATTCGAATTCAATAAAAAAATATTCAATTCATTATATAATATGTGGATAAATTTACCTTTTGTAGAGTATACAACATTGAAACAGTGAAGCAAATACAGTGTTACAAAGGAGCAGTTGGAATTAAAGGGGTGCTATTAAAGCTTCAGTTAGACCCGTCCGGTCAGTACGTGGTCACTTGTTGTTCGGATAAAAGTCTTTGTTTACTGGACTTTAAGTCTGGCGAAATTTTGGCCACCATGATCGGCCATTCGGAGCAGATCAATGGTGTAAAATTTATGCCTGACCTGAAGCGTTTGGTGTCCGTATCCAGCGATGGCTGTATCTTTGTCTGGAGACTGTCCCCTGAACTGACCGAATCAATGCGAGGCCGTCTGGAGGAGATGGGGAGACTTCCTTATGAGGCCATCAACACGGAAATCAACAGGTGGGAGAATTTTTCATGCGATTCAAAGTTATACAGAGGAATATGTAGAATTTCTTGATAACAACACAATTTCGATTTAAGAATATTTTTCCAATCAGCTATTGGAGAAAAAAACTTGAGTTAAGATTTGGGAGCTAATGAGGGTTTCACTCACATATCTATTCGTCAGGAAAGGAAATGAAATTATTATGGCCATCGAGATTTTTACAAAAAACATAATCATTTTTCAAACAGTAAAAACCTATATTAATGTCTTTTGCAAACAATCAATATGTACACACTAGAATATTAATGCAGATGTGCAAACATAACTAGTAGTAAATGAAAATAGTAATAAATAAAAATAAATGTTAACAGATTGTATCTCTGTTGCATACATATCGTTATCGGCGTTTTGCCTATTTGATGATATTGAACAGTTAAATGTACAATATTCTTTATCCATCGAACTATTCTTTGCTTCCTCTGTTTATGACTTTTCTTTTTATCCTTTGAATTATGTTATAAAACACATAATGAACTAAACTGAGGTGAAATATTAGGAATCACGGATCGTGTTGGAATCGGACTTACGGGATAGCTGATCCTGCCCCTCTCTCGCTAGAAAAAGCTCTAGAAGAAGCTGTTTTGAGCCCTGGTGTACAGGTAGCTAAACCAAAAGTCCAGGAAGAGGTACAAACAGAGGAAAATAAAGATTCTCCTAGTATCCAGACAGATATACAGGCTGACAGAAAGGAGGAACTGCCCGACTTCAACAGCACAATTACCGGACTACCCGATTGGATCCAGGCAAAGGTGAGGAAAGGGATAACAAGGCAGGTAAACTACAAGAAAGATTGGTCAACGTGGTCAAAATTACAGTGATAATGGCCTACATGTGTCATTGTTAAATCAGCAAAAAGAAATATAATCACCAAATCAATAAAAATGATATATTTTTCGGGCTTTAATTAGTGTAACGAAGATATGCTTATTGGCTCTAAGTGAATGTTTCACAAAGGTTATATGGGGAAGAGTCAGTAGATGAGGAAAGATACGTATGTTACCACTGATAAAGAGATTTTGACCATGCAGAGGCTCTTTCAGAGTCCGGAATATCACTTTAGATGAGGACTAAGAATTAGACTTAAATGAGTGCTTCTAGGGTAAACGTTCTTAGGGAGGAATGACCTTTGTTACCTATAATGACTGGCTATTTGTTTCCAGATGGGCAGGGATATCTCTAGTTCAAGGGAATCTGACAACCAACTGCAGCCCCCTTCTGGTCGTTGGGCGGTAAAAAATGACAGTTTAAAGTCATGGAAAAGCGGCATAAAGGGTCCGTGTGTGGAGGGTGAGCCTCAGGGTTATGACAGTGAGTAGATACATGTAGATTTACATGTAATATATGTAAATCATCATGTGTAGAGGGTGCCAGTAGAATGAATGATAGACATCCATTCAATGTATTTCGAGAGTAATTTTTTTATCTGAAAAATATAAACCTTAAATTTGCTGCTGATGAATCATATTGCAATCACATGTAAAAATCGTGTTGCTTAAGTGTTCTAAGGTATTGATACCAAACTGAATTATGTTGTTGTCAGAGCCGTCCAGCGTGGAAACCTTGCCTGTGGAGGAGGTTGAGGATAAAGGGGACCAAGTTGAAAATGCCGTCCTCTTCGACGGCTCCGGGAATGACCCATCAGTCGAACTAATAGACACAGTGAGTGATTGATGGATTGAATGCTGCGCGTTACGTCCATACAGAATCTTTCACCAAAAATAGGACATTTATCGGTTATAGCACAGTGCCAAATTTAGAGTATACGATGTTATCAAAGGGGGGGGGGGAGGAGGGGGGCTTCATTGTGCCAACATCTGCTAGGAAATTTCTTTAGAAAGACATTTCACCTAATTGCTTTTGTCGAAAATATAGTGAAAGAACAGTCCCTACCTATAATGAATTCTTTAAGGTCAAAACCGGCAAGAGTTGATCACAAAACCTTCCGCACAAAAATACAACGTTTTAACATCTAAACAGGCATACTTTTATTCTTGTTTTATTTCAAGCAGACATGAAACAAAATCAAGTATTGTAGAATGAAACTGAATCATACTTAACAAAGATATTGCAATTTCGAAAACACAATAATGATATGATGGATTCATTCCAATTTAAAGAAAAGACCTTGTACAATAATAAAGTCTGGACCAACTCAGAAACGTAAGGGTATTACATGTATTAAGTATTAAGTGACAGAGAAACGAGAATTAGACGTACAGATTTAGAAGACAACTTTCATAATTGATGACACCGTTAAACAGTGCTTTGACTAAATTGAAAGAGCTACACAGAATTCCCACATACATGATTGGACTGTATATTTATGAAATATGACTGTCTTATTAGTTCAGTCCCCTACCGGTGAAACCGGAATGGACTCTATGTTTTCTCCTCGTCTGTCTGTCTCTCTGTCTGTCTGTCTGCTAGTCTGTCCCACTTGGTTTTCCACACATTTTTTCTTAACGCTTATAGTTATTGAGCTGCCTTCCGGTATGTGAGTGTACCATGACGAGTGACAGAGCAGGTTTGCATTTCTTTCTGCTTCAATAATTTTTTACGGAATTGTGGCCTTTTTAATTTTTGAGGGAAACCAGATTACACTTGCTGGTAGGGGACAAGAATTACTTGTACAGTACTCTCAGAATGCTTGTTAGTTAAAGTTTGCTTTTGATAACATAAAGACTCTTTGTAGGAGATGGAAGAGAGAAAGTCAGAATTTAAAGAAAGTCTGAATTCCTTAAACCTGCGAGTGAGCCTTTCCTCCAAGTATTGGTCTAAGTCACAATTAGAAAACATCAGGTTAGTGATCCAGACTGAATCAATGATTATAATCCAGATTTCAGTATCAAATCCAGAAGAGGAACATCAATATTAATTAATTGAAAATGTTGCACATAAAGAGGAACGAACGCTCTTGAATATTAAACATCGTACACTTGTGTTGCAATTAAATGAACACACATGTATGTATTCATTTTTGGTCATTCAATGTGCTCGCCTGAAAAAAGATGCTGAATTTTTTTTCTGGATTCCAAATAAGATTTAGTTATTATTATATTTAAATATTTCATTTATCAACTTCAAATTTCATTAGCAAACTTTTTTAGCCTTTTGTTTCGTTTTTATTCTAGTAAAATGACGATGCAGATCTGTATGCAGCAACAAGACTTACTTGATGTAAGTTTACAATTATATCTAACTATTCTATTGGTAGTCCATGGTCAGATTTAACTAGTGTAATGGTACGTAGTTCATAATAAAATTTAAATTGTCGGATAGTATTCAATGGTAAAGTTTCACTTGTCTGATTGTATTTCATGGTAAATAGTATTCCACGGATATCAACAGTCTCGTTTGAAGTCATCATTTCGCAGGTTCTATTCTCAATACAATGACCTTATCAGCAACTACAATCTTTCAATAGGTCAAATGCTAATTGACGTTTTTAAATATTTTGTTAAAACATGACTGTGACGTAAACCTTTTGTTTGTGTTGTCCATTCTATAGCTTAATCTTGAGCTAACTTCCAAAACAATCCATTAAGTTACCTGCAAGTGTCCATTCTTTTTGGAAAACTGTCCATTCGTTTTAAGAATGGACAGTTTTTTCAAAAAGAATGGACAGTGAAAACAAACAGAATGGAGAGTTACAGGTAAACTTTGAAATGTGCCCAAGAGGGAAAAAATGCATTAGATACGATTTAATTTACATGTAAATAGAAAAAGGACCCGGAGATCTAAGTTAATCCAGAGCAAAATATCTGCACAGAACCCACCTCATTTTACGCTTTTAAATCCATAAATAATGCACATTATTTCAATACTCAAAACTCAATTTTCACAAAATTTGAATATAAATGACACAATTTCTCATTTGATTTAAATTTCGGAAACACCAGTCCCTGGAGAAGAATCCATTTTAACATTGAAGTACAGCTTATATTAAATCCACCACCCAGAAAACAGATTGCTCCATAGTCACTACACTGCTGCAGTTAATATTTCCATAGAAAATAATTAAAATTGAAACATTTCCAGATTTGATTTGAAATGCATTTTCAGGTCGAAATTTGGCTCAGGTCTAATCCAACACTCAGAACACAGTTTGCATCTCACCATTACAATGCTGCAGTCAATATATCCTCAAAAAATAAAATTCAAATAAAACATTTTCAGATTTGATTGGAATTTGATTATCTCTATTTGTTGTAGAAGAAATTCATTTTTGGTTCAAAATTTGGCTAATATTTTCTTTTACTATTCTCGGTTTTCAGATCCAAATATCACTGATTTTGTGCGTCTTTTGGTTCATTAGATTTTGATTGTCTCATACACTCTCTTCATAGGAGGAGGAAAACATGTATGCCGTTACAATGCAAACATTAGACCATTATTTACACACTTAAATTTCTACGGATTTTGAAAAGGAGCACGTAAACGGCGGGTGTGACCGGTCGGCAGGGGATGCTTACTCCTCCATTACACCTGATCCAGCCTCTGATTTTTTTGGAGGTCCGTGTTTGCTCTATCCCAAAATTATATTTTTTAAATGGACTTTGAGCTTGAATACTGTTCGTTATCTTCATATTTCATGGTCAGATTTTACAAATTTAAAGTACTTTTACAATCACATATGTCTTATGTAAGTTTATAGTCACATTTAACTGGTTTAGAATATAAGTTCACGGTCAGATTTAAGCTGTTACCTTGTATAAAACACGTCCTTTACTATCATGCCCTATTCTGTGGTCACGAGTTGTACTCATACAATGTAGACATATTAGTATATAAACAATTTTTTGTTAGAAATTTTCACTGATCTTGAGTGTTAAACATGTCATTATAGACTTAAAATGTTGATAATAGTTCGAGTAAAATAATAAAATTTTGTATTTTGATCTGTAACCTTTAACATTTTAAAAACAATCATTAAAATTTCAGGCCAATGTATTTTTGCATATTACATTAACAGGGAAAATTTATACTGTTTTGGGTTTTTAAATCTTAGGTCGAACAAGATAAAATGCAAGAAAACCTCACCCAGGAAAGTGGAGAAACCAAGCAGATTTTAGACAGAACGAACGAGAATGAAAGTGTGTCTTACCTGCCAGGAGTCTTTCCTCAGGAGATTCCTACAACTACAGGACAACAACATAATGTAACTTCAGAGCAAGACTTTGGTGAAATCCTAGGAGAGAAGGAAGTTGAAACTCCTAATCAAGGAAACCAAACAGAAGATGAAGTCTATTTAAGGAAGGAAATGGTGAATACACTTAAAGAATTGCTAGAAGCCACAAGACAAAATGGGCGTCTGTTGATGATGTTGGACTCCAGTATTAAGAAGAATACAATGGTACTGCAAAACTTTACTGACTTGCAGAGGGCAAAACTGAAGGAGGAAGAGAGTTGTTGAAAACTATCCTTTCCCAGGTGAACATGCTGATAATCTTGAAAGAACTCATATTTATCTTAGGCCACCAACCACCTTTAAAAGCCGAACAATCATCTCTTTTATCACAGGAGATCAATTTGAATTTTTATTTTCAAAGATGGGTATTTATATATTGTTTACATATAAACTGTACACTTATTTTAAGACATTGTTAAGAATTTATGTATCATTTAAAAAAAAAATTTTTTTTTAATTGCGTAGCTTTAAAAAAACATCCAGATTTAATATTTGCGCTCTGTTTGGAGTGATATGATGCTGAAAATGTTAAGTAAGTCAGATTTAGTTTATTTGATGTGTTTATTCTAATACTTAACAGCATCAAAAAAGTTTACAAACAAATTTTGATGTGCTGGAAGTTCACAGTTACGTAAATTATTTGGTGTAAGTTTAAGTGCAAATTCACAAACTTTACACCATATTTCATATCATAAGAATAGGCTATTTGCCTGCTAAAACTCGAGGGTTTCTTTAAAAAAAATTAAAGGGTTATTATACTTTTCATGCATATATTTGGTTGGGACTTTTTAAAATGTGGGGGAAAAGTCTTCTGAAATACCGCTTCATATATTCTAAATTTATCAACTCTTACAGGATTATCTTCGAATTTTATGAGTAAGTGTTAGGCGGTTTATTAAACATATTTTTGTTTAACGTAGGGCTATTCCTTAGTGTCTCCATACTTATCAATATGACTTTAAGATAATTCCTTCGAACTAGTTAACTTGCTTACCTTGAATAAAATCCGTATTCCATTTAAAACTGATTTATCCTCTTACAATATGGATAATTTTCTGTTACTTATAGCACATTGTATTTCATAGATTACCAACCCCTTTTCTCTTCTACAAATCATATTGTTAGTATACTATTTTTTGCGTGTGTCTTGATATCAATGAATATAAATCCGTTTTCAGTTCCCCTTTCTTATCTGTATCACGTGAGGACCGGTCACGGTAGCCCAGTGGTAGTGCGTTCGCTTCGTGATCGGGAGGCCCGGGTTCGATTCTCGTTCGCCGCGCAGCGTCAGACCTAAGTCGTAAACATATAGGTAGTGAATGCTCCTTCGCCAAGCGCCAAGCATTACAAGTGAAAGTCACAGGTGGCACAAAAAAGAACCATCACTGCTCGATGGACCTGAGTGCCAAATATAGGTCTAAATTTGAAGTCCTTCACCGGCATATGGTGACGTCTCAATATGAGTGAAAAATTCTCGAATGGGACGTTATACAACAACCAATCAATCAATATCATTTGAGTTTGGGGGTTTATGATAGGTTTCCTGAGAGAAGTATTGTTATTAGTGCAATGTAAAAAGTGTCATGTAAATTATATTAAAACTGAACACGACTCGTAAATAGGCATACGCCATTTCGTCAAAAAATGTACTTGATGAACAATTTTCAAATAAATGCAAAGTTGTTGCTTTTATTCTCTTTTCTTGAAAATACATTTTGGATTTTTTTTTTAGTTTTTCTTACATAATATGATTAAACTATTAAAAATGAACTTGAAGATATACCATTGAAGTAAATACACATTTCTTTGGGAACTCGGAGACTTATTTTTAAGCATTTTCAATTATTTAACCTCTGATTTGAAGAGCCTGTGGATCGTACTACCTTAAAAATCGATTACCGAGAGAGAAGAAAATGAAAAGTAAATTGTTAGTTCCTGGGCTTTTATAATAATTTGAAAATACATGTGCATTTTTGAGAGAGCAAAACTGCACAGGTGTTGATAAAAAATCTCAATTTTTCCATATTTGAAAATATAAACTATATTTATTAGAGTAGAACAAAGAAAAAATAAAGTATCATACATTTTAATGACTAAAAAAAATTCTGCAATGATGTATCAAAGTATTCTACTTTATTTTACTGTAAAATAAAAACATATTAAATTATTTTTCGGGATATCTAAATTAATATAGTTTTATAAGTATAACCAATTGGAGAAGGAAAACGCAGGTTTTATAAATTTATTTGGAAAATGAAAAAGCAATGGCAGACCTGAAATATGTACAAATACAAACAAATAATCCAATATCATAATACACATAGACATTGAAATTAATACACTGAAACAAAATACTTTTATTTCCTATTCATTTCAAAACTTTTATTTCCTTTTATTTTTCATTTCAAAAATAAGAAAATTTAAAATGACTTAGTCCAAAAGTGGTATTTTCAAAGTTAAAAAAAACGTTTCTTTCAAAAATATGAAAAATACTTAAGCTTATAACTTGGACTTAATAAATAAATTACAACAAAATTAATAAAAGAAAATTTACCTTTTAAGTGGTGACAACGGGCAGCTGGTAATTTGTAAGAGTAAAGTTACATTTCCCGCACTGACAGGAATGAGCCAGTGCCTCAGTATTTACAGAAGGAAAACCGGTTAAACAAGATTTACTGGGGGTACAACTTTACTGGCCAATAAAATTTTATGAGTAGAAATTCATGAATGAAAACCAAAACACGAATTGGCTACCAGCAAGTATGACATATAGTAAATAATGGCTCAAATAGTTCTTGAGAAAAAATCGAAAAATTATTTTAAATAAATATCACTCTGCCACATTAGGATGTTAGGGATATAAATCTCCGAAAAAGTCTCAGAGTAAATCGATGAAGCATTAAAGTTACATGTATCATAATTAAGCAAAATTTTATAATAAAATATAACAAAGTATTTTTAAAAGTCAAATTATGTACCTTTTATTGTAACCAATAACGTTTTATGAGTAACGTTATATTTTACTTTAATGACAGTAAAATTATGTTAATGAAGTTCATATCTTTTTTATACACTGTAAACATGAACTTTAAAAGATTTATTCCATTTTGCTAATATTGTATCTCAGCTCAAAACTATGATAACATATTCCTTGTGCGTATTTTTAAATGTGCGTAAAATATTTTTCTTAAAAATAAACACGTTAACCTTAATTTGAACAGTGTTGAAAAAATGATGCGTAGTGAAGTTTCTAGGTCAAAGTCTGGCACTATGTATGATGGGTTTTAGTATCACCACAAATGTAAACACTTCAAAAGACAATGTATGTAAATTTGGTCCCTTATATGATACAATATATTAGAACTTGATATGATACTTAATCTATAAGATGTATAACCAGCAATAATTTTTATTCATATCGTACAGAGAGACCACAAGGTGACAAATAAGAATATTTTACCAAAAATTCTTGATTTGGACGAAATTTCGTCAAATTTGAGACACTTTTTACCTCCGAAAACGAAGGGCACAAACTTTCCTATCCTTTGGACATCAATTGATTTATTGCAATTACATGTAATGATTGTACTTTTAGAACAAACAATACGATAATTAGGAATCCTTCATCAACTTATTATCATAATTTGATGTAATGCATGTGCTTGTATTTGTAATTCTAACTTAGTATAACTCCACTATTGAGACAAATATAAAATTCCTTTTACACATGTAGTTACTTGTAATTTAAAACGAAATTTAAGATTAATTTTACACTCATAAATCTTTCTTTGAAACAAGCAATTGCTAAAAATAAACAGCGACAACTTTTAAATATTATCATACTCCTATTACCTAAAATCTTTAGAACATAAGTTTCCTTACCTTGAAAATAGTAAGTAATTTGCAAAGAAATCATAACATGAATTGGATTCCGTACATCACCAAGTGCACTCTAGGTGCACGCCTAGCAAATGATATCTTCCACATTTGTTTTTCACTTAAATAGCAAGCGCGTCATCTACCAGAGATTTAGAGGAAGTAGTAAGAGATGGATTAAACACACTTGTGTTGGCTTTTGGAAACAAAACTAGAGTACGAGGGGTGATCAGAAAGTTCGCGAACTAATTGAATAACTTTTATAAAAGAAATAAAATTAGATTTCGGTGTTTAATATTTTCTAAAGTAGTCCTCTCCGATTTTAATGCACATCAACAACCGTTCTGCCCATGCGCGTATCACGTGATCCTGGCGGTCACGTGACATCCCCCGAAGCGTTCTTTTCACTGGAGCTAAAAGATTTTTCCGAGTCTTATATTTCTTACCATGCAACTTATTTTTTAAAACTTTTAAAAAGAAGAATTGTCCATTTGTCATAAATGGCCAAATCTCGGCAATAGGATGGGTTGATAAGGATATCTTTTCCCAGAATGAGCTTGGTGACCATCACAACCCGACTTCTCTGTCTTTGGTGCGTCGTTTTTCCATTGTGGATAAAGTATGGGCACCTTCTTTTTTCATATCTGATATGTTTAAAGTTTAAAGTAAACGGTACTTTAGTGATTTAATCATTATAATGTTCTTTAAATATTCAACTATATTTCTAACTTTAACTTGGCGATCTTTCATAACAAATTACTCAACTAAGGACATGTCTCTTCCCCAACTTACTTTCACTGGGCACCATAACAAACATCAATAAGGGGTTTTTCTAAATTACCCTAGGCCTTTTCCCCCGGCTAGGTTGGGCTAGCATTTCCGTACGTTAGGTTGGAGGTGATTTTTATACAGGTGTTAGGATTTTTTTCTACTGGGCAGGAATTTACAGTTGTTATTTTTTGTATTTTTTTTTTTTTGTTTTTCTATACAAAGGTTAAAAAAATTTGTTGTTTATTGAAGCTGGTGTTTTCATTACAATTGACATGAAGTGTTGAAATAAGGTACAAATAAGCTCGGAAATAAGTCCAAGCAGAATCTCAAATCAAACTAAGAACCTGGGAAATAATAGACATGAAAATACAGGAGAGTGTTCAAAAATATTCTAAAACCACTAATGAAAATGGTGTTCTAAGGTGTACTCCTATTACACAAATTTTACAACCTTCTGATAAAATCAACTTCATTCTTTAGTACGTTTTTTTTATCATGCAGACCTCAATCAGTCTACAAAAAATCAGGTATGTAATATTTCATCACATGATTTAAAAAAAAAACGGGCTATCAATACCGCTTACACGCTGATAAGGTAATATCCACAGTCAAGTTTAATATGGCGTCGGCATCAGGCCTCCGAGATTTACAGCAGATCGTAAGGGATGGACTTAGCACTCTG